GTTCAGATCCACTGGGGTTTTTTAGTGTGAAGTTTGGGATGGCCACGTCAAATGCAACCTCAGCCCATGTCCCGACGGAGTTGTCAGGACATCAATTAGTTACTTATTTAAACACAACTGGACCTGAAGATGTGGTGCAAATAGAGACAGGTTATATAGATAAGAATGTATGGCTGGATTGGGTAATTTACACAGCCAAGTCTAATGACATGACAGAATGTGTAGCCTGCTCTAGAGCACGCCCCACACTGTTCACAGTGCCAGCCCCTTTGTTGTTTTGGGAGGACAGGCCGGGATTTGATTGCATGTTGCAGCTCCACATGAAGGAAAGGGTGGATCATGATTGTATTACATTGGGTACCCCTCTTCCCAGAAAGGGTGTTATTCCCCCCATGTTCTCCCCAAGAGCTGTAAACTACACCTGTTTGACCAGGGTAAGTGTCACCCCAATAGGTGCTCCAGGTGAGGCATGGTGTGATAAGGTGATAGATGTCACTGAATGGGCAAATATGAGCAGCATTAATGTTCCTCGTGCTGACCTGTTCTGGTGACAAAATTCTGAGGGACACCCTGCCGAGAGGCTGGTCGGGAGCCTGCACTGTTGTAAGATTGGCACTTCCTATAGTATTAGCGGGATCTCATGCTACTGCAGAGACTCATGTGGGTAGGACCTGCAGAGCCACGTCAGAAGATTTTGATTTAACTAAAAACTCCCCAACTTACATAGATTTTATAGGTGTTCCTGATGAGTATGAATTGGCCAACCAGGTTGCAGGAAGGTTTGAATCCATTTTCCTATGGATAACTCCAAATAAAAATGTAGATAGAATAAACTATGTTCATTATAATGTTCAGCGACTGTCTAATTTGACACGGGATGCAGTTGCGGGTCTATCTGAACAACTGGCCGCCACTTCTTTGATGGCCTGGCAGAACAGGACATGCTTTTGGCTGAGAAGGGGGGTGTTTGTATTATGGTGGATCCTCTGTGTTGTACTTTTATCCCTGATAACACAGCTCTGTAACCAGAGCACTGGAAGGGTTGAGGATGCTGTCCACCAAAATGACAGAAGACTCTGGCATAAATAATCCCTGGGATGACTGGTTTAGTAATCATTTTGGTAAGTATAAAGCTATAGTGGTGTCTTTGTTGATGTCCATAGCCACATTTGTTGCCATACTTACATGTTGTGGCTGTTGTTTCATCCCGTGCCTTTGCACCCTAGTGCAGAGGTTGATCACAACTCCGCTGACAAAAGAGGATGAGTCTCCTAAGTTTCAAGTAGGGAAGGCACCAGCTCTGACATAAACGGTAGTAACCAGACTGAAAAGCAGCGCACATTTCGGTGCTTTATTTCTGTGCTTTTTTTTCCTGAGACGTCATACACTTTGGATTCTAGCCAATCATTTTACCTTTCCGAGGATAGTAGGCGGACCCAGGTTCGTACGTTCTTTTAGAGCAGAGCTACAGATTAAAAATGCCCAAGGTGAAGAAGTCAAAAGTCTGACTGTACTTCACAGCAAAAGTTGCAAACTCAGCAGCCTGCAACAAGTGCTTTAAGGTGATTGTTACATCCTGTGAGGCTGTGGGAGTGTGTGGGTGGGGTGTTTGCCCGCTCTCTCCACCTCCTCCTCTCTTGTCACTCCTACCCCGTCTGTCTCTCTCACTCTCCTCTCTCCCCAGGACACAGCTGCTCCTGATTAGCCTCATTTGCCACCTGAATCCAGTCAGCAATCACCTCTGAGGCTATTTAAGCTGGGGACGAGCTGTGAGCAGGGTGGTTTTTCCCCTCTGTGGTCGTATGTGGTTTTCTGCTGGGTTTTGGACAGACAGCCTCCTTGTCATTTGTAATAAAACTATATCATTTGTAATAAAACTATATTATTACAGAATAACTCTGTCTGTTTTCCTTTTCATTCTGTTTCCGGACTCATTTGTTACTGGTCCCCTCACTCGCATGCCTAGACCCCTTCGGGGGGAACGTAACAGTGATACTGTGCAAAGGAGGTAACACCTCGAATCTGATGAAACACCTGGCGACGTATAGCATTTTGTTAAAAGCCGAGAAATGCGGCGTATTTGATAGCTTGCTGCGAGACCTCACACCGTGCACATCTACTGTGGGTGGTTTGCCTGTTATCGGACCCGGAGTTTGCAACATCCCCCAAAAACCCGAAGAGGAGACTCCTGGCCCCTAGCCCTGCCAGTGTATCAGAAATGATGACGGATGATGATGGCAGCAGCAGCTGTTCTTCTCTGCGTGAGTAGCTTAATGTTGTTCGTGTGTAATTTACGTTGAGTAGGCTAACCACGTTATTAAATTAATGCATGTAAGGTGAACTAGCAAACACCGTCGTAGTTACATGCGGCTGTCTTGTTGTTTGATGGCAGATGCTCCCTTCACCCTGGCCAAAAAGGCTGAAATCACCAAAGAAAAAGTGGAAAACAGCTAAACATGAGAGGTTTTTGGACAAAGTTTGTGTTTTTTCCTTCTTTTTTTCCCCATTGATTAAGCACTGCTTCCAGCCAAGAGTGATACCATAAATCCCCTATAGCTGCAGAAAAGGCTAACATTGTTATCTTTTTACAAAAAACAGCTGAACATGAGAAGTTTTTGGACCAATTTTGTGTTCTCCATTCTTTAAGCACCGGTTCGAGCACCGTTTAAGCACCGGCACCGTTTCAAAAGTACCGGTTTGGTACTGGTATCGGATAAAACCTAAACAATACCCATCCCTAATCACAAGTGGGGCCCAAGTTTTATTGCACCTTCACAAGCAGACTCATTTTCCTCTTGAGGGCTCTGGACATCCTGTTGCAGAGGAGATGACAGTTGGTCGGAACTGTTCCTAGACTGAAGAGATAAGGTTCTGCTAATAATTGATCTGCTGTGCAATGTTCTTTGTTTGGGAGGTATAAAAGGGTTCAGGGTGGTGTCTTTCCCTCAGAAAACCAGGTTAGGACTGTCATCTGAACGTTTTTCTCCACTGCAGTGTTTTTCTTGCTTTTTTTAATAAACCTCACTTCAAAAGACATGCTCGCCTGTTGGTTGCAGTTTTAATCAAGATTTTCCATAACAGGGATCACTTGGAAATTCTCATTTTCCATGAAAACATGCAAGAAATTGTTGCGAATAGGGGATATACAAAATGAACAGGACATTGCAGCAATTACAGCCATAGGAGACCATTCTGTCAGTCCTTCAAGGTAATCAGATGATATTACACCCCATGCTTCCTGAACAATTTCCCACAATCAGGGTGGCTTGATGAGTCACCCTCTGTACCATATGTTCAAGCTGCTCCCACAACAGCTCAACAGGGTTCAGATCCAGAAACTGTGCTGGATACTCCATTACAGCCAGAATACTTGGCTGGCTTCTTATTCTTTAAATATAGCTGACACATTGTGACAGAAGGTGTTTTTGGAGTCATTATCCTATTGTAGGATGAAATTGGCCCCAATCAAGTTCTGTCCACAGGGTATGGCACAGTGTTGCAAACTCTTGTTCCTTTCACTGTACAAATCTTCCGGAGCACCGCCAGCCATTACACAGCACTGTTCTTGCATTTTTTGCTTGTTCTGCATCTCACAAATATTCTTCTGTTTGAGCCGAAGGCCTCAAACTTAGACTCATCTGTCCACAACACCTTTTTTAAGTTATCCACTGTCCAATGTCTGTGCTCTTTTGCCTATCTCAGTTTATTTTCTTTTTTGTTGTTCAGTCTAAGATATGGCTTTTCATGGCATGAAGCCCAGCATCCTGAGGTCGCCTCTTCACTGGTGATTCTGACTCTGGTGTTTAATGGGTGCTATTTAGTGCAGCTGCAAGTTGACAACCTGTGAGGTGTCTTTGTCTTAAACTACACACTCAGATATGAATTGAATGTTATTTGAATTGTTTATGAAATGAATTGCATTAAAAAATATTAAATTTTTCAAAATTGTTAGTGGGTTGTGAAGAGCGCTGAGTGAAAGTGTTTTTGTGACAGAAATTTAAAATGACAAAATCTTTACTTTGGCTGCACAGTCCTTTTAAGAAAACTAAAATGCTTACCTTTGGAAATGCTTCCCCAATTTTTAAAGCAGATCCTAGCTTTGTTAAAGGGTGTATTGACTCCACTCTTCCTTGCACCAATTCCAATTCTCAGGTTTTGACAACTTCCAGAATTCCTGCCAACAAAAGCTTTGCATGGTGTTGACCTTCATCAGAGTTTGCATCAGCCAAAACCAATTTGTGAAACTCATCATGCTTTCATGACCTAAAGGTGAATGGGGAATTCACCCTTTACCCATTCATTTTTGGTGTTACTACGTATGTTCTAGAGTGCACTTAAAACATGGGAGGGGCATGGTACCAACGACCCTCTGCCTGATAGCAGCTGGTGTCAGCACGGCCCCTCACGAGAACCCTCAATTACATGTATTTAATATTGAAAGGTGGGCACCGGCACCACAGGTGAGGCTGAATAAACAAACTGTCCTCTGGATGCCATTTAGTGTGCCAGACCGGGGCCCGCAACAGCAGCACTGCCAAGCCCCACAGGACCCAGAGCGGCCCACCCAACCCATTTACTTTTGGGATAAGACATTTGTTTGTAGTATTTCTTTTTCAGGAGATCTTAGGAATCCAAGACATAGAAATAGACAGACATTTGTCATCCATATAATATTAATAACACAAACACAATAAGAATTCAATGCAGTGACAGTGCAACTCCCTTAATCACCAGATAATTCAATTTAGCTCAATTCAATTTTATTTATACAGCATCAAATCACAACAATAGTCACTCTTAAAAATAATACAACAGAGAAAACCCCAAAAATCATATGACCCCTATGAGCAAGCACTTTGGTGACAGTGAGAAGGAAAAACTCCCTTTTAACAGGAAGAAACCTTCAGCAGAACCAGGCTCAGGGAGCTGTGGCCATCTGCCATGACCAGTTGGGGTGAAGGGAGGAAGACAGAACAAAAGACATACTGTGGAAGAGAACCAGAGAGGCCTGCATTTGTATAGCGCTTTACTTAGTCCCTATGGACTCCTACTACTGTGCACCAATAACAGTCAATAAGGATTAAAATGATTTCAGTGAGTGCCTTATGAAGGATTTGTTTCTTGCTGTTTTCCATCAGACACGTATTCTCTGTAAAAGAAATGCATTACTCTTTGTAATTGCAGTGTTTTGCAATCCATTAGTTAATTCATGTCATCTGTTTTTTTAATCCATCGTGAAGTCGCATTGTAAAGTAAAACTTTTGTCAACCTAATCTTTATCTTGATCAAAGTAGGCAAGGTATATTTTTCCATAGTCTTCTTAGCAATCATCTTTTTGCTAGTATTCCTTCAGCCATTTGTCTTCCTAATGTGTCTACTTCTGTGCAGGAACAAGCTCATCTATACTTAGGTTGCCTTCCAGCCTTTTCTCCATGATGGTAAGTAGCTTAACCCCGTCCACCACCAGCTGGGTCAGTGCGACCTCGGTAAAGCCAAAGGTTGCCATGTTGCTTATATTATATAGTTCCGGGGAATCTGGGAAATGAGGAGATTTGGAAAGTTTAAATCCAACACTGACAGTTAGTGGTGTGGGATGTAGCAAATGTGGTATTGATCTGATACCAGGTAAATACAGCATGAGTATTGCTAAAACCAAATACCAGTACTGATACTGACCCACGTCATCCCTACTTGTGGCCCGTATATTGACGTGAAGAAATATAACACAATTTGGCCCTTGAAGTTACACTTTTTTGTTAGGGAAGATTTGTTCGTTGTTGAGTGCAATGTTAAAAAAAGTTCTTTAAAAAGCAAAAACTAATTTAATATGAATTAATTCAAAACTTAGTCAAAGTTTTGAAGCTATGAAATATCAGATCTAGGTCTTCTGTTTACCTGTTTTGTCCATGTTGATCCTCAGTCTTTTCAGAACATCCTTAAGGTGTTTATGTGTGGGAAGGTGTTGCAGTTTGATGAGGACGCTGATCCTCAGACCTGTACCCACATTAGCCGGGGAGCTCGTCACCCATCCCAACTGCTGCTTCCAGATAAAGGGATGTCTGAGACCTCTGTAGTATTTTTCCAGCTAGACACAAACAACCAGTCTTCATGAGTTCAACCTGGTTCCCCTGGTGGAGCGTTTGCAGTTACTTTTTAAGGCCCCAAGTACTTTTTCTAGAACTAGCATAAGTGAAAAACAAATATCCATCCATTCATTTTCTATTGTTT